AGCTGTTCGATCAGATCAGCTCTTTCGAAAGGAGCTGTTCAAACCAATCAGCTCCTGATTATGAGCGTGTCGAACAGCTCCTTCGCTCAGAACTAAAGCTGAACTTGTGCACCCCTAATGTTGATGCTACATTTTTGATGATGCCTCCCGTAGCATCCCATGATAATACTGTTTCAGGATGGCTGACAATTGCATCATATAAACGTATAGAAGCTTCGGTAAAAGCTACAATACAAAATGGTCTAAGTTGCACCACTTGAATTGCACCTTTGACGATGCCATCACTATTAATTTCATCAACTAATTGATCATGAAGTCGTAAAATACCTAATGTAATATCTGGTGAAAGTAAAGATGCAGCTACTGCTTCAGCTTTAATCTTTTTGAAAATCTTTGATTTGCCTGTACGATCGTAATTAAAACCTTTTCTTTCATTTTTAGTTCGCTCTTTATCATATTGAGCATGTAATCGATAAACAGAAGCACCTGATTTGAACTTTTCAATTAATGCCTGACGTTGAGAACCACGAATATGACGACTAAGTCGCTCACCAACAAGATGAAATATATTTCGATTTATTGCAATAAGAAAACAATCACCATTATTCAGGACATGCACCGTACATTTGAATTTACAAATACTACCACTACATTGTAGAATACATCGTACAAGAAGAGAATTTGGTCTAGAAGTATTTTTCCCAAAATAACGTGATCGAATACATAAAGCACAAGCAGAATTATAATGTTTCAGATGAGGCAGAAGTAAATTGAGATATTCAATATTAACTTTGCTATTTTTTTTAACATTGTTATTTTCTTGGTAACATTCATCACCATTTAAATCACTATTTGTCGTTGACATATTTCCATTTTTCAACTGTTTTTTTCTGAATGACGATGAATCAATTGCTAATCCCATCACCCAGTCAGACAAGGTTTTGGGAAAACGCGTTTAAACACCATGAAATCAGCCTTTTTTGGCGTTTTACGGCGTTTTTTTCAAAGCGACCGTGTAAACGCCGGTAACTTTATTTTTGAAAG